CCAAGCCAGTTGGTCGTCACAGGACGTGACAACACGACTGACGCGACAGGCGGACGTCACGTTGGAGCACCGACACCCGAACGGAGCAGCGAGGAGCGAACAGCTGGCGCCGCGGCGAGGACGTCACAATTGGTGCTGTTTAGGGACGTCACAGTTGGTGCCGTGGTAGACCAGAATAGAACGTCACAGTTGGCGCTGCGACCAGGGGACGACGTCACAACTGGTGCCCTGACCAGGATAAATGGACCCTGGAACAGTCACGTCACAAATGTAAATGCTTGTACAGAGCTCCTAAAATAATATGGCAAGATGTTTATTGCCACCAAGACACACACAAACAAACACACATTTATATATCGAGTGTAACAGCAAAATTGTCCTAATCGTGTAAAAGCAAAATAGTCCAAATCTAAGATGAAGCTTTGTAACGTTGTATCTTGGAAATGCTTAAATATATCTTACTGGAAATCTCCGAACTTTCTATAATACTAGTGGACTCTACTTTGAGCAATAAGAATGTATAATTATTCTCCAAGCTTAACAGGTGTATCTTGATGAAATCGATTATTAACGAAAACGACATGTTCATCATTAATTAATCATAGCTAATGAACAGAAGCTTATGAAGAATTGAATAAAGCTCAAATATATATATATATATATATATATATATATATATATATATATATATATATATATATATATATATATATATATTTATTGCAGGATCATTTTTCAACTTATTCATGATGATCTTCGCCCTCTCTAACTTTCTTTTTGTCTTCACAGGTTTCATGTGTGATTTCATTTTCAATTCTTTTCCCACTGATCTTTGAACTGTCATAGCTGAAACTTCTCTCTCACATGGTAAACGTCCTATGGATTGAGTTAGATCTTTTCTAATTGACCTATTTGTCACTAAGTTAAAATGATGATCCCTCTTCCTGTTGTGACCTCATTATCCAGTTTTCCTCCCAGTTTTTAAAAACATTAACCATTCTCTTGATGGTTCTTGAATGAACTTCGAAGATGGAAACCAGAGTATGAATGTTGCTACCATTACTGGAGGCTTGAATATTTTTTCCTCTCATCATTGCTCCTTTGGGAAGAGAGTGGGGCTGAGACAAAACAATTTTAACGTGTTCTTTTTCTAGTAGAATAACTCAAAGGGTTTTTCAATGATTCATATGGGAAAGGGTGTCATGACTAAACGTCTTATCTGAAAATATGGAACAAGAAACTCAATAATTTTAGTGGTCCTTTAGATAATGAACATTTTGTGGGATGGACATTATGCTGTTACACGATTTGGACATTTTCGTTGTTACACCGGTATATATATATATATATATATATATATATATATATTATATATATATATATATATATATATATATTTATATATATATATATATATATATATATATATAGTTTATATATATATATATATATATAGTTTATATATATATATATATATATATATATATATATATATATATATATATATAGTTTATATATATATATATATGAAGAAATTTTTGAAAAACAAACAAAATCCTTAAATGTAGTTAAATGAAAAGATAAGATTTGGCTTTCCTTATTAACTACCACCCGACTGTCCCTAAAATTTATGGCCTCCCAAAACCCATAAGCTTAACATTCCATTAAGGCCCATCATCTCGGTATAGGCTCAGCTCCTCATAATATCGCTAGGTATTTAACTAAATTTCTAACTCCAATTCTGGGCACCGTAAGTAACGCACATATAAAGAATTCAGGCTCTCTTTTAAATAAGTTGAGAAATATTGATATAGATAACAAATTACTAGCTAGCTTAGACATCAAATCTTTATATACTAATATACCTGTTGATAAATGCATTAAACAATTAGAGAACCACCTTAAGAAAATTGACTTTAAGCTACCTATCTCTATCTCGAAATGCATCAAATTATGCATCCTTTGCACTTCACATTGTTTCTTCCAATATAATAATATTTATTATAAACAAAAATTTGGTTTACCGATGGGGAGTCCTCTCTCTGGATTCCTAGCATGCATATTTCTAGAATTTTTGAATCTGGACCTTTTAAAGATGTCATTCCACCTGATACACATTACTTTCGATACATCGATGACATTTTATTTATCTACCCACATAAGCATGATTTAAACGAGATTACTGATAGATTAAATAGAATAGAACCTACTATTGAATTTACCTATGAACTTGAATCTAATAATTCCTTACCTTTTTTAGACATATTACTCATTAAAAATAAAAAATAAATTAGAATTCAAAGTATATCGTAAACCTACATGTAAAAATGACTATTTACATTTTTACTCTCACCATGATACTAATACTAAGAGGGGTATTGTTATTGGATTCTATTTGAGGGCTTTCGCATCTGTTCATCAAAATATTTAAATGATGAATTTACATATATTGAGGATACCTTTTCAAATCTTTCGAATCCGAGACAATTATTACAGAGAGCTAAAAATAAAGCGTTGAAAATTCACTCATCAGCGCAAAATGACACCTCAAAGGCCATTACAATTAGATCAATGAAAGATACAATTTCAGCTACCTCTGATAATATTTCGTTTGGTCGCATCTTTTTTACCAAATAACCATTTGACCGAACGTATCTCTCATAATCTAAATGCATTAAAAATTAGAACTACTATATTACCTACTAGGACTATCCGTAGTTTATTAAATAGCACCAGCAGACAACATATTACATCCGATGCTTGCATCTATCAAATATCATGCAAAAATTGTGACCTAAAATATGTGGGTGAAACAGGTAGGTCCTTAAAATCTCGTGTTTTCGAAACATAAACGAGATATTCGTCTCGGTATTTTAACAATGCTTTAGTTGTACACACAACTAAAGCAGATCATAATTTCGATTTCGATTCTGTGAAAGTATTAAAATATTTTCATAATAAAAAATCTCAGGAGGATTTATGAAGCAGGTATAATATCCATCTCACGCACGGTGAATACTAGACCTGGTTTCTTTAATATTTCCCCTTTTTTAGCGAGATTGATGCTCGACAAGCATACACATAAGAATTTTGGAACCTAATAGAATTCTTTTCATTTTCTTTTTCTTTTTCTTTTTCATTTCAAAATAATCACAAACTTTTAGGAATACGTTATGAAAGCGTCGCCCATGTGACGACAGCGTGACCATGTTAGACGGAAGGCTGATCATTTTAAAAATTTTCAGTTATCTGTTCTGAATAAGACTTGTGTTTTTATGTCCATCGTATTTGTCATATTGAACTGAATTGTATTTTGATGAATATTGTCTTGAAAAAGGTTTAATAAACCGAAACGTCAGACGTCGACATTTCTTTCATTTAACTACATTTAAGGATTTTTGTTTGTTTTTTCAAAATTTCTTCATTCTGTCGGATTTATATCCATTTACACTTGCTTATATATATATATATATAGTTTATATATATATATATATATATATATATATATAGTTTATATATATATAGTTTATATATATATATATATATATATATATATATATATATATATATATAGTTAGGTCATGAAAAGTTTGGTAATCCGTATGGATAATCCCAATGAGGATGTAATCCAGAGAGCTCAATGTCAAACCAGAGCAATTATTAATTCAATTTAATTAGAAGACAGATAACCTTAAGGGTCCATTGATTGTATTTTATTTCTCCAGGTAGGTATTTTCTACCTGGTTCATCAAGTCACAATTCCAAGGTTTAAAAAAATGATTTTAAAATTTGAATTTACGTATTATTTTTCATACAAATCTTCACTAAATTTTGTCGTAGTTCTTGTGGGTGCCTTTCGGTGTCAGCTATCAACACTGTGTCATCACTATATTTTTTTAAGATTGTGGTCGCCAGTAATGAAACCTGGTAGGATTTAATTCTTTCAGAATCGCCTCTATATATGCTGAATAAATCCAGTGGGAAAATATGTTTTTCATACACCCCTTTCTATATTTGTATATTTACTGAATTAATTTTCTATCCTTATAAATGTTGTTTGCTGCCAGTATAGGTTCTAACTTATTCTAATATCTTTTTTCAATTTTCAGAACAAAGTATATAAAACTTGTAATCAAGCTGTAAGAATTTCTGTCACATTGATAACCTTTTCTGCATTATTTCGGATAGTATACGTGTCTAAAAAAAGGATTTTTCACTGCAAAGTTGCGATTATAATTTTGTATTTTTTGGGGGGGTAATATTTGACTCGATATGTTATTGTTTCTTTGAAAAGAGACAGAAACATTTTCTGTGTAATTTATTAGTTGTATTAATCACTATAAGGATTTTCCAAGCGTAGCTTAGATGTGGCACAAGGCCGAAACTATGGAGCACCCAGAGATGATCGAACTCACTACTCAGTCATAATTATTCTAGCAAGACAAGCTTGCTAACCCTTACACCGCCTCGTGGTGCCCCGTGATTTTTGAAGTGTAGCTTAATTGTGGCACAAGGCCGAAAGTATGGGGCACCCAGTGAGAATCGAACTCACTATTCAGTCGTAATTTTTCTAACAAGACAAGTTTACTAACCATTACACCGGCTTGAGGTGCCCTTGTATTCATCACTATATGCCAAATATCTCCGACGCTTGTGTTATTTCCGGCAGTGTAGTTTCTCCATGTTTTTTTGTATAAAAAGTGATGCGTACTTTTTTTTCTGTTATGAGTAATATGCTTGGTTGGTTGCTTCATTCTTTTTTTACCGTTTGTCAATCCTTTATGAGTTATTTAAAACCAGGAAATAAGTGTAGATTGTAAGAATTTTTTTACATAATAATGGTTTAGGGACACAGGTCCTGGTATTTAACTCGTAGCTACAAGGACAACAGGTAGATTCATACGTTTTCCAAAGGTATTTGCACGTAAATGTATATAAATGTATTTAAACCAAACAGGAACTGAAATTTCTGAGCCATTATCCATTACACCATATTCAAGCTTACAGCACCTGGTATTACTAAGCGGTCACCCATCTAGATGCTGACCAGGCACAAAGCAGCTTAACTTTAGTGATTCGTACGGTAACCGGTGTTTCAACTTCTATGTGACCGTAAGCAACGAATGTTTCTCTATAAAAACAATGCTTCCGCCTTTTTTTTTATTTCGGGAAATCGATGTTTATACACGCCAGGTTCTAGTTTAAAATGCGATACCTGTTTTTTTTGTTCTATATTGTTTTGAGTAAGGTTCTTCTATACATATCAGATATTTCCCTAAAAATGCCGCACACATGTGTTATTGTGAGCAATGAACCGCTCTCCATGCGACGTTTACTCTAAAATGTGTCGTCCACATTTTCGGTGGTATTTTGAACAATTTAAATCGATGCACATCAGATTCTATCCTAAAATATGATGCCTATATTTTATGTAATATTTGGTTAGTGTACCTCTACATATACATCAAATATTTATTTTTAAAAAATAAAACATCTCTTCTAGATTGTTTTTTGGTTAATATACGTCTGTACCCGATAGATTCTTGTCTAAACAGCAATGTCTATATTTTATGCATTCATTCGTTTAATGTGCGTCTATTCATGCCATTCGTTTATCTAAAGCGACTCCGACATTTACTGTGATATTGGGAGTAATGTCTGTCTCAACTCGTCGTATTTGTCTCTAAAAAGCGATGCTTACATTATGTGTACTACTTGGTTAGTGTGCCTCTCTACACGATGATTGCAGACTGAACGTCTCTGCAGTCGAAAGTAGAATCTGTAAACAGGATACACGATACAAACATAGCCACAGTAGAAAACCTCATTGATAAAAAGTTCATACCAATTTCTTTTTCCATTAATTTATGTTTTGGTTTAACCTCGCCGCAAGGAATTTTTTCTCTCTCTCTTTTGGGAAATAAGCAAATTTTCCAATGTACCTGTTGTATATCGTGATATACAACGTATTGAAATAAATAGCTCGCGAGACAGCAAGTAAATCACTACCTTACGGATATTGTATAAAATCGATGAGCAGATTTTAAAACGTTTTCAAGACTCTGAACTAGCATAAGCCCCCCACCTGAAAGGTGTCTATAATTTGCCTATAATTTGCTACTATAATTAAACATTTCCCCTGGGGGGTCCGAGTTTTGCTTCCCTATGAGATGCAAAGAAAGTGTAATTACCTTTCAGCTCCATTAACCCTGGAAGTGTGCTCTTTTTATCGGGTGACGGGAAAATTAAATTCATTACATTTGTCTTCGCTGTCTGTCGCCCGGTTCACACTCCTCTCTTGTCTTTTGATCAAGAGTTGAGATTTATCCCTTTTTTCGTGTTTAGGATTCGGTTTTCGTTTCCTTCTAAAGTCTACTTCAACTCTATACTTCTAACGTCTATCTATGAATTCTGAAATTTTATCAACTAATTATGTTTCTCTTAATAGGAATAGATAGATTCGCCTAACGTCCGGTTCACACCCGAACCAGGTCTTTTGAACAAGAATGGAAGTTTATCCCTCTTTTCTTGTTCAAGATTGGTTTTCCGGTTTCTTTTAAAGTCTTTTATTCTTCTTTACTCCCAGTAGCCCCTTGTGTCTTGAAAAGAAGAGCAAATTGTGGTAATAACCATTCTAAGATAAGGTAAAATCTCCTAATACCCGGTTGGACACTATTTTGACATTAGCACAGACTCACTTTTTCTTGGGATGGTTTGCAAGATATTCTGGTAGAACTTTTCGAAATTTCGTTCAATTTTCTTGTGATGGCATCCCGTAATTTTTCTTATGTCATCAGGTAATTGATTGATACATATCAAGACTCGAATCTCCCTATTCCACCATATCCCCAGCTGATCAGTGTCATTGATGTCCGGGAACTGTCATGGTCACTTTTTCTCAAAAAACTAATTTAACGAATTTTGGCAAATAGTACTACCCTTTAAAGAATATATAGAAACGAAAAAACCTCAAAACATAACAAACCAGATATAGCGTATAAAATACGGAAGGCAGGACGTGTTTTCAGCAACACTTAAAAACGATGTAAGCTTTGTCGAGAAAAGTAGGTTCGCCTATTGTCCGATTTATCCCTTGTTTCCTGTTTAGGATTGGGATTCCCATTCCTTCTAAAGTCTACTTCAACTTATTACTTCTAAAGTCTCCGCCTGAACTCTGAAAATTAATCTTTTCCCCCTCAATAGGAGTAAATAGGTTCGCCTATCATCCGGTTCACAGTCCCCTCCCTAGCCTTTTGTACTGGAGAAAATTTTTATTTCTTGTTTCCTGTTTATTACTGAGTTTCCGGTTCCTTCTAAAATATTTTCATTATCTTTCATTCCCAGTAGTCCCTTGCGTCTTAGTGGTATTATCGCTTTACTTGGGGTGAATTGATAAAAAAAATAAGAGGCCTACAACAGGGCAATAATTAACAATTAAATATTTAATGTAGAGAGTTAGAACCTCACTGTGTGTTACACTGCTGTTGCCATCTCCTGTATTGAACTATGTTTCTAAAATATCAAGAAACCTGCTCCAAGTATATTGGCTTACGACCATATCACATTGAAACACCGGTCCTTGTACGATTCCCCACGTTAAGCAACGTCGAGCCTAGTCAGTACCTAGATGGGTGACCGCTTGGGAATATAAGCTTGGATGTAAGTGTAGGTATCAGTTCGGAATTGGAAATCGAGTAGCCGAGTTCTAGTCACAGCAGGGTTCGTTATATTCACTTACTTGCAAAATGCTCTTGAGAAAAATGTAAATTCACCTCTTCTCGCCTCACATTCTGCTATGGTTTATATAGTAGAACATGTATCATTAAGATACATTATTATCTCCAAAATATTCTTACAATCTTTAAAAAAAAACTATTTTCTGTTTTTAAATAAGCGGCAAATGTTTGATAAGCCGTAAAAAATAAGTCAACTCAATCGAAGTATATTGAATTAGCATCTTGTAGTATTCATTCCCTTTAAGCAGATTTCAGTATTTTAAAACCAATCCGCCTAACGTTCTTTGAAGGTTTCAAACTGGTTGTATTTGGTTTGAGGTATATGTGATTTTGCGTCGACGTTACACTAACTATTGGTATAACTGTTTTTTCTGGTTCCAAACAGTTCGCAGCATTGTCACAACGTTATGGTAAAGATGCGAATTGCTGTAGCTGAAACATTACGCACTATTCAATGACAACATCAGAATAGATTTTCTTCATTTAATAATATGTAGAGAAACTATACAATTTCTTTTCGTGTGTTTTAATCGTGAATCACTCATTTAGATGTTGAATACACGTTCTAATATCTTCCTCGAATTTATAATCCGTTTTCTGTTCATGTAACGTCACCAGGCAATGTATTTGCAACTTTACTAGTTAAAGTTACCTGCACGTTATGTGAAGTCTGCAAAAATAAATAAATAGGTTTTGCAACCTATATGTAACGTTTCTTTTCTACACTGAAAAAGACCAAAAACGGTTGCAATTTATTTTTTTACTATCCAATTGCAAAAGAGCTAAATCTGATCATGAAGTTATAAAATAAATTCATCTTCTGCATTCCCATTGGTAATAAAAATTATTAATAAAAAATACAGTATTTTTTTTTAGTTTAATTGCTATTTTTGAATGTGAATATGTATTTTTTTGTAACGTTCTGACAGCATTAGCCACTTTTTTTTGGCTAAAGCTATAGAAACCTAAATACATTGCTTTACTGTTACCCAACTAATATATATCTTCTTTTAAAAAAAAAAATTCGGTATCACCTTATGCAAAGCAGTAAAGCCAATAAATACAAGTGGTTATAGGGTGGAGAAGAATTAGGAAGAGAAGCATTAATAATGAGCGGGAAGAGAAAAGGGTAATCAGGACAGGAGATAGCGATTGGAATTTTTGCAGACTGGAAAGCATGGAGATGGAAGGGCGTTCCTCCAGCAAGAAGCGCGAGAAAAGAAAATATTGGCATAGAATTTACGGTTGCATTTAGCCAGCTCTACTGTAAGTCGACGCAAGTATAGTACTGCGCTTAAATTTTAAAAAAAAGTCTAGGTACCATAGCGAAAAGATCATTCGAACAATTACCATGAAAGCATTTATACTAGAAACGGAGAGAGAGAGAGAGAGAGAGAGTGTGTGAGGGGAGAGAGAGAGAAACTTTACATCGGTGTGAAAGTAACCGAAGCCGAGCCGCCAGCTCAGGACCAATTATATTGCAGGTTCTTCTTTGGATCTTATCAAGGAAAATAGTAGGGCATCGGACTATATGTAGCAGTAATATTCTAAACATGGACGAATGGTCCACTTATAACACGTAAGATAAATTCTGGAGCGAGAATATATATATATATATATATATATATATATATATATATATATAAACTGTTATATTAGAGCATGCAAGTTACTACTACAACATTTTATTTGGACGTTTAAACACGTCTCATCAGGCAGTTGCTAATAAATGATTTTATTTAAAATTACAATACATGAAACATGAAACATCACTTCTTTTTACATTTTTGGAAATTTTATTATAAAAGGCGAAAATTAAAAAAAGAAAAAGAAAAAAGAAAGAAATTAAATCATTAAAAAGAAGCGGAAAGAAAAGAAAGGCTTAAGAAAGGAAAAGAAATCAACCTCACTACCAAGAGAATGGAAAGAAAAGAAAGGAAAAAGAAAAGAGGGGTGTATCCAAATTATACAGGATGTCAAAGTTATATGTGTTTTCTTTCTTTTATTTTTGTATATATATATATATATATATAATAAACACTAATATTCCATGGTCATAATTTATTCCATTGGAATCGTAAATACGATCCAATTCATCAGACCTACAAATTCAAAAAACATATATATATATATATATATATATATATATATATACACACGCATCAAGGGAAAAAGCACATCATTGAAGAATTCGCTGACAAATTTATTTCGACAGATAAGTATGCAATATCTGCCCCATCAGATCGAAATTACAAAATGGATTAAATTTATCCAGACAATATATTACACCAGAGTAAGAAGTAAATGTCTAAATTACTTGAAGTAGAAAATTTTTCTAGGGATTAACATTATTGAACAGAGGAGCAAGAAAAAGAAAAAGTTGAATCAAATTGTCAGCACAATATGTAGGGGTATGAGGTAGAAGTACACGCGCACATACACACGCCCACACATATATATATGTATATATACAAACATATGTGTGTGTATATGTGTGTGCGTGTGTACAGGGAACAATTCGTAAGTTTTCACTATTTTATATTTTTCATTTCGCATATGCGCGTTGTTTGTTTTGATTTAGTCAACTACGCAATACAGTAAGGTCAATTGGCACCTTCTGTGAGACAAAGGTGCACTGTTCCGCCATTCACTCAGCCAAAAATTTGGTACCGACATGCTGTACTGTTTGGTATTGGCTCCGGAAGCTACAATTCATCTTCCCACGGGCCCCAGACTCAACATTGGAGGCCTACCTCAAGTGACTTGCGGAGGTAGTACTGCCCTGTGTCAAGAGTGTAGATGTTGGAAGACCCTATAGCAGGCATCAGGACTCTGCACCATACCAGACAAGCAGGAAAACCCAGTTATGGCTGTCAGAAAATTTCATCTGCCCTTATATATAATCACCTAACTCAGCACCTTGATTTTTATGCGTAGGGCGCAGTTGTGCGAGAATCCAACAAAACTCTTTGCAAGATGAATATAATTCAAGGATTATGGTAACACTCACCAAATTAAACACGGAGACAGTGCAGAAGAGTTACAGGAGATTCGAAAGACGTCTGGGGGCCGCAGTTGAAGCCGATGACAATCTTTTTGAATAAATTACACTTTACTATTTCAAGATATTTTTTGAAATATATATATATATATATATATATATATATGTTAAAATGAGATGCCAATGTTATTTGCATTTTTGCGTAATTTAGACGACAATTTATCAATCGCACTGTGTGTGTATGTGTGAGTCAGGGACGTGCCGTCTAGGTAGGCATGGTAGGCAGTGCCTACCCTAAATAAAATAGATCAGCAACTACATTTTCATTCTGTGTCACAATATGAACCTTATCCAACAAAATTAGAAAAGTTATTCTGATTATTATGCATAAAATGCAAAATATTTTATAGATCTACAACATAAAGGCTACAATCTACCTACCCTTAGTAAGTACCGTTCTCACGTACCTTTTATACATATATTATATATGTAATGTTCATATAACCACTCTGAAAGACGAAAGCTTAGATAGAGCAAGAGCATAATAAAACATGCAAATGTTGGACCATTTTTGACTTTATTTTCTCCCGAAACAAACCCATTATACAAAGTTTAGAACAGCTCATGATCAAACATAATAGACATTCATTGTCTGTTGTATTTAACTATATATATATATATATATATATATATATATATATATATATATATATATATATATATATATAAATATAATAAAAGGCTTAAACACTAATATTCCATGGTCATAATTTATTCCATTGAATCGTAAATACGATCCAAATCATCAGACCTACAAATTCAATATATATATATTTATATATAGTAACTATACTCGTTTCGAAAAACCCTCGAATTTTTGATTTGCCAATATTCAAATCAATCTCGAGGGAAAAAAGGTTTTAAAAAAGAAAGAGCTAGAAACATGAAAGTCTGTCGAAAAAATCGCACAGATACAGATTTGAAGCCCAAAGAAAAAACCCCGATACGAGTAAACAACTAACAAAAGAGCTCAATACAACCGTAGAGCAGACCTAGATAAACCTAGTGAGCCAGACAAACCTACCCACGTTTCACCCTAAGCGGATCTTCATGTATATATATATATATATATATATATATATATATATATATATATATATATATATATGAAGAAACATAGTCCTAAGATGTGCTATATTTATGGGATAAAGTGCTCAATAACAGAGACAGAGCGTGTGTAAATATAGAAGTGAATATAGAAATCAACACTTCAGGTGACAGTCTGTTTCATGCTGGATGCAATCGTCAGGCCACCGATTGCGTCTAGCATGAAACAGACTGTCACCTCTAAGTGTTGACTTTATGTTCACTTATATATATATATATATATATATATATATATATATATATATATATATATATTAGAATAAACCTTCAGAAGTAAGGTTGAAAATATTTAAAATCTGAACGCAAACCAACATCATATATTAACGATTTACCCGGCTAGATATAGAAAATAGGTTATTTTTTTCTATGTTTCCATACTTTTAGTTTAATTCTGTTAACTTTTTTACAAGGGCTAACAAAATTCCCCAGAGTTTGAAATGTAATCTTTAAATTATTCACTGCTGTAGTGATTCCGAAACTCTTATGGCATTTCCCATAAACAGTCGTATATATATATATATATATATATATATATATATATATATTGAATTTTGAAAAGGTATTAAGCCTTTCACTAGACGAAGATATACGATGTAAATACATGAAATAAGCTCTGGAAACTAATGAAATAGCAATCATTTCCCTTGTCGAGGATGATAATACGTCTAAGAGTTGTTTTTTTATTCTTCCATACTAGGTCGTTAGTAAACTAAGCAGTGAGTAGTTTACTTCAGTGTACCAATGT